GGGGTTTTCGTTGTGTAACGGCATGTTGTTGTATAAGGGGCGGGTGGTCCTACCCAGGCATTCCTCTCTTATACCAACCTTATTGGCTGAGTTTCATGGTAGCAAGATTGGGGGCCACTCGGGGGTGTTAAAAACCTTTAAAAGGCTGTCTTCTGAATTTTTCTGGTATGGCATGAAGCGGGATGTGCTCTCCTTGGTGGCCGCTTGTCCAGTTTGTCAGCAAAATAAAACCTCGACTTTATCTCCAGGAGGGTTGTTGCAGCCGCTACCGCTTCCAAGCTTGGTGTGGAATGATATCTCTATGGATTTTGTGGAGGGACTTCCAAAGTCCGTTGGCCATGATTCCATTTTGGTGGTTGTGGATCGGCTTAGTAAGTATGCCCATTTTTTGGCCCTATGTCATCCGTTTTCGGCAAAGTCGGTGGCTGCATTGTTTGTTCAGGAAATCGTCAGGCTCCATGGGTTCCCTCAAACCATTGTTTTCGATCGCGACAAGGTTTTTCTCAGTCATTTTTGGAAAGAGCTTTTTCGTTTGCAGGGGACCGCCTTGCATCACAGTACAGCGTACCATCCTCAATCGGATGGTCAAACGGAAGTGGTTAATAGGTGTTTGGAAGCTTATCTGCGTTGCTTTGTGTCCGGAAAACCGACTCACTGGTTTTCGCACCTTGCTTGGGCTGAATATTGGTATAATACGAGCTTTCACGTCTCCGCGGGAATGACTCCTTTCCGGGCGTTGTATGGTCGCGATCCTCCCAAGTTAGTTCGTTTTGAGTTAGGTTCTACAGCTAACTCCTTATTGGAACAACAAATGCAATCCCGGGATGACATTTTGGACGAGCTTCACGCGCATTTGTTACAGGCCCAGCACATAATGAAGGCGCAGGCAGATCAAAAACGAAGAGACGTGTCCTTCGAGGTAGGGGATTTGGTATTTCTGAAACTGAGGCCATATCGCCATCGTTCCTTAGCCAAGTTTCCCAACGAGAAACTTTCTCCGAGGTTTTATGGCCCCTACAAGGTTCTCATGCGTGTGGGATCCGTGGCATATCGGTTGCAACTTCCCGCGGCTGCGAAAATCCACCCGGTTTTCCATGTGTCGCAACTTAAGAAGGCCATTGGCCTGTCTTTACCAGCTCAGGAAGTTCCGCGGAGCTTGACCGCTGACATGGAGCTGCGCGTTGAGCCGGAGAAGCTGTTGGCTACGCGATTTTCGCCGGTATCGGGGCAGTTGGAAGTTTTGCTGCAATGGCGTCACTTGCCGGACTTCGAGGCTTCGTGAGAACTGTTTGATGTTATTCAACACCAATTTCCTGAATTTCACCTTGAGGACAAGGTGACTTTTTTGGGGGGCGGAGTAGTTGATAGGGGTGGACGTGGACTTGTTAGTGTTATTACTGTATTAGTTGCTGATTGTACATTGTGGTGTGTAATAAAGAGAGGTATAAATAGGTGAGAGTTAGAGGATTGAGATAGGAAATTACTGGAGTGGAAAGGAAGACTCGGCTGTGGCTGTTCTGGAGAAGGAAAATCTTTCAGTAGTTTGTATTCTCTCTTTGCGGATTAATAAAGATTTCTTCTTTCATTCTTTAGATCGTTCGTAGAGCAAGAATTGTGTAGAATCTATCACAAACCATGTATTCTCTTCCTTTAATCACGAACCCTTCTGGCTGTGTCATGTAAATGTTTTCTTCCAATTCTCCATGAAGGAAAGCTGTTTTCACATGTAATTGCTCAAGTTCTAGGTCTTCATGAGCAACTAGAGACAGCAACATCTTTATTGAGCTAAGCTTCACTACAGGAGAATAGACTTCATGATAATCTACTCCTTCCCTTTGTGTGAACCCTTTAGCTACAAGCCTTGTACCTCGGCTTCTCAACTCCTAGAATTCCCTCCTTCAACTTATAAACCCATTTACAACCCACCAATTGTTGCCCTTTGGGTTTCTCCACCAACTCCTAAGTTTTGTTCTTATACAAAGACTTCAACTCCTCTTCCATGGCCTCAATCCAGCTGCTTGCTTCCTTACTTATCACAGCCTCCTTATAGGTCCTAGGTTCAGCATCTTCTATGTCCACTGTTGCAGTAAGAGCAAAAGAAATCATCTCTGCATATCCAAATCTTTCTGGTGGTTTGACATGTCTTCTCTGCTTGTCCCTTGCTAACAGATAATCCTATGATGTCTCATGGTGCTCCACCTCCTGTTCTTCAGACTCAATCTTTGGTTCCCTGTTAGTCTCAGTTGGCTCCACCTCCAGCTGAACTCTTTCACCTGGTTCGAGCTGGCCCATCACTCTAGTGTTTTGATCCTTTGTGTAGTACATCTCTGTCTCTCTGAAAACTACATCTCTACCATTAAAGACTCTAGAATGCCCCTTTTCCATGCACCATAATCTGTATCCTTTTACACCCTCTTGATATCCCAGGAACAAACATTTCAATGCTTTGGGTTCCAGCTTTCCTTGGTTAATGTGAGCATAGGCTACACAGCCAAAAATTCTCAGATTTTCCAAGTTTGGAAGATGTCCTGACCACTTTTTCTCGGTTGTTTTAAGATCAATTACTCTAGAAGGACTTCTATTGATCAAATACACAGCTGTAACTACTGCTTCTGCCCAGAAATTCTTGGAGAGATTTGCACTCGACAACATGCACCTAACCCTCTCCATAATAGTCAGATTCATCCTTTATGTTGACGCATGACGCATTCTGTTGAGGTGTCTTCCTTACAGTATGGTGTCTAGTAATTCCCACATCCTTACAGTACTTATCAAACAATTCTCCACAAAACTCTAGTCCATTATCTGTTCTTAGTTTCTTAACCTTCCTATTTGTTTGTGTTTCCATTAGAATCCTCTATTCTTTAAATCTTTCAAGAGCGTCATTTTTATTCTTCAGAATGTAGATCCAAACTTTCCTTGAATAATCATCTATTAAGGAAAGAAAATACCGTTAAGTAGTGTGAGTTGGCACCCTTGAAGCCCCCCAAAGATATGAATGAATGTAATCTGGAATTCCTTTGGTATGATGCACTACAGGAGAAAACTTCAAACTTTTGGCCTTCCCAAAGATGCAATGTTCACAAAAGTCCGACTCGGTGAGTTTGATCTTTCCCAGAAGACCTTGTTTGCTCAATTCCTTTAAGCCATTCTCACTGATATGTGCCATTCTCATATGCCAAATTTGGCTCTTTGAAACTTCACTATTGGACACTGTTACAACTGATCCTGTTACTGCCTTCCCCTGAAGCAAATACAAGCCATTCTCAAGTGTTCCTTTCATCATCACCATAGAACCCTTCATGACCTTTAGAACTCCTGCCTCAGCCTTATACCAGAGACTTTGACCGTCAAGCATCCCAAGAGAAATCAAATTTCTCTTGAGTTCTGGAACATGCTTGACGTCTTGTAAGATCCTCTGTGTTCCATCTACCAGCTTCAATCTAATCGAGCCAATTCCCACTACTTTACAGGCCTTGTTATCACCAAGCAGAACCTGTCCACCATTAACATTCTTTGTAGGAAAGAAACCAATCCTTGACTAGGCACGTATGGAATTAACACCCAGAGTCGAGAACCCATTCGTTGTGGGTTTTCATATTGGTTATACACAGTAGTTCAGAACTTTCATACCCATATGAAGCAATATCAGCATCACCATTTTCTTTGGGTCTTTCTTGATTTGGTTTCTTCCTTTCTGGACAGTCTCTCTTCAGATGGCCTTCCTTATGACATATGAAGCACTTTTACTAGTCTTTGACTTCGATCTATGCCCTTTCTTCGTCTTGAAATCTCTTCTTTCAGATCTCCCTCTGACATTCAAGCCCTCTGCACTCCTTCCTCCTTTCCTTCGGATTTCTTCTTCAACTCCTTCGAAAATAATGCTGATTGAACTTCCTCAAGGGTGAGTGAATCCCTGCCGTAGATTAGAGTATCTGAGAGACTATCGAATTCGGTTGGCAAGGATCTGAGCAGAAGCAACGCTTGGTCCTCATCTTCGATCTTGATGTCAATGTTCTCGAGATCAAGAATCACTTTATTAAAATCATCCATGTGATCTTCGAGTGATTTCCCCGGTGGCACCTTGAATGTGTACAATTTCTGTTTCAGGTACAATCTATTTGCCAGAGATTTTGTCATGTACAAATTCTCCAGTTTCAACCAAATAGCCGATGCACTCCTCTCCTTCGATACCTCCCTCAGGACTTTATCCCCCAAATAGAGAATTAGGGCACTATATGCCTTATCAAGAATTTCTTTCTTTTCTTTATCAGAAAGAGTAAGATTTTTCTCACCTCCCAAGGCTTCTTTGAGTCCTTGTTGTACAAAAAGAGCTCTCATCTTCAAACGCCATAGCCCGAAGTCATTCTTGCTTGAGAATTTCTCAATGTCGAACTTTACATATCCCATCGCTGACGAAGCTCTGATACCAATTTGTTGTGAAACATCTGGAATTTCCAGAACAATTCTCAAAGTAAGATAACTGGATCACAACATCACACACACACAAAACAAATCAAAGAGAAAAATCAAAAATCAAAAGAATTCCTCAACATAGCTTATTTTCATTAATGGCAGATCAAGATAGTACACCCTCTACAGCTTTTTCTCTCTCTAACAAAGACTACCGAATTGACAACTAATCCAAATCTGCTATTTTATCCCAGATTTTAGCTTTACAGTATTATTCCTATATACCACAGCACATAATAATCATGTAGACTTGCCCACGTGTGTTTAGTAACCATGTAAACTTGCCCACGTGTCTTTGTTTCATTTCCTTCCTCTGTTGAGCTGTTAAAATCCTAGTTACTTTTACAACAGTAGGAAAGACGTTTGGTTCATGAATTAGAATCATGACATTATAATTATTTTTAATTTACGTGTATTTTTTATAAGAGAAAATATTATAACAAATCATGAATCATGATTCGAATCGGAGTATGAATTCCCTAACCAAACAACCTCTAGATCTAATTAATAATATTGGAATATTGAAGGTATGCTGGGAGAAATTTGCAAGGTACTTTGAGGTAGAGTTGAAGGAGGTGAAGTTAAGGGAAGGATATTATGTGATGGACCCTGTGAAAGCAGTGGAGTTGGTTGATGAGAACACTATCTGTGTTGCTGCTATTTTGGGTTCCACTCTCAATGGAGAATTTGAAGATGTTAAGCAACTAAACGATCTCCTCATTGAGAAGAACAAAGAAACTGGGTATGTCTATACTAAATATACATTTATTTTATATAGTTTCTCTTATTTACATGTACAATACAATGTTTTAAATGTTTTTATCGTATTAAAGATTTCTTATATCAAAGAAACTGGACGCTTTTATTAATGTCGGTTGTCCACGGTATTCATTAAAAAAAAAAGAAAAAAGAATTGGGGTGTTAATAATCTTGTTTGGCAGATGGGATACTCCTATTCATGTGGATGCAGCAAGTGGTGGGTTCATTGCACCATTTTTGTACCCAGAACTGGAGTGGGATTTCCGGCTGCCGCTGGTGAAGAGCATCAACGTTAGTGGCCACAAGTACGGCCTCGTCTACGCCGGAATCGGGTGGGTCATTTGGAGAAGCAAAGAAGACTTGCCTGAGGAGCTCATCTTCCATATCAACTACCTTGGGGCGGATCAGCCCACTTTCACCCTCAACTTCTCTAAAGGTCTGCATACGTAGTACTCTAGATTTTTTTTTTTATTTCTACTTATTAAATATATATATATATATATATATTTTCAAAAAATATAACATCACAAAGTTTTAAATTATACTTTGAAAAACACTCATTATAATTGATTAGTACAACTTTGAAATAAAACATATGCTAAAATTTGACGTATTGTATATTTGATGCGTATAACATATCTTAATTTAGCATCAAATAAGCACTTTTCGAGTTTAAATGTCAAAATTTGGTATTGACACATTTATTTGACATTGCGTTGAATGATGGTCTAATATTAACAAATGTGTGTGCATGTCTTTGATAATTGCAGGTTCTAGCCAAGTTATTGCTCAATACTACCAACTGATTCGCTTGGGTTATGAGGTGGGGTATAAATTGAACAAAAAATTATAAAATCCACAAAAGTAATTTAAACTCTTTTGGAACTTAAAGAAAATATTAACATCTTTTTTGCATGTTTATTTATACCTGCAGGGATATAGGAATGTGATGGAAAATTGTAGGGAAAACATGATAGTACTTAAAGAGGGATTGGAGAATACAGGTCGCTTCAACATTGTCTCAAAGGACGATGGGGTGCCATTGGTGGCCTTCTCACTCAAGAACAACCACAGCCACAACGAGTTTGAGGTCTCCGACATGCTGCGGCGCTACGGGTGGATCGTCCCCGCCTACACCATGCCGGCAGACGCGCAGCACATCACGGTGCTCCGCGTCGTGATCCGCGAGGACTTCTCGCGAACCCTAGCCGAGCGCCTTGTGAATGACATTCAGAAAGTTTTGCATGAGCTTGACGCACTTCCCTCCAAGTTCACCGCTAACATTTCGGTTTCTGGTGACCACAAGGAGGTTGAGAAGAATGGGACTTTGGTGGCCAAGAAGACTGACTTGGAGACTCAAAGGGAGATCACCACAATTTGGAGGAAGTTTGTGTTGGAGAGGAAGAAGACCAGTGGTGTTTGTTAAAGAGTGCCTTGTGATAATAATGACTGGTTATTTAATTATGACAATATCATATGGCAGTGAATCTATTTTGTTTCAGAAACCTCTACCATATACAATTTTTAGATGCTACTAATTTATCTGTATCTTCTAAATTGAGAATGATTATCGTTAATGTATTTTTGTTGGTGTGATAAGTTTATTGAAATTGTGTGCTTCTCATCTTTTAAGAAACTCGTTTCATTTGACGCTTTTTAGAGTCTTAGTTTGGCCTTAATTTGAAGAATTTATTGTTCCGGTAACAAAGGAGCCAATAAAAGACATTGATCTTGCCACTAGACAAGTGTATCAAACAAAAGACAAGATGCACAAGCTAGTCTATTGGAGTACCGATAAATAAAGGGTTAGGTAAGCCATCGGGATACCGTGGAAATCCGATAGAGAGATGTCGTTCTATTTAAAGGAAAGAAACTCCCCAACTTGTCATCTTGAAAAATTGGAGGTATATACAGCCCTCCTCAATTTTATTAAGGTGCTCACTCCAATAATAAAACCGTGTTCCTCAAGAAACCGACATGATTCATAGAAACTTGGAATGATTGATGGCATCTTGCTAATCAAAGGATCTGGCCACAGTTTCAAGCTAAAATTTAAACTAAAATCGGCTGGGAACTCATGTACCAAGAACCAACAGCAAAATCATCGTTAGTGGTATTGGGCTTATTTCTTGGTTTGAAAAAGAGAGATATATCACATTCGAGTTTTATGGAAAACAATTGACACTATTTTTGTTTTCTTTGATAAAGACACTGTTTTTAAGCTACTGATTCATTGCTCATTGATTCTTGATGGGATTAAGGTAATTTGATAAAGATAATGTTGGATAGATTTTTCGGAGCTAGTAGAAAATGTAATAAGTTTTTGAGCGACCCAAGCATATGCTAGAGAAACCACCTGAGTAAACGCTAGAGAAATCCGAGCGTACGCTAGGGTAATTACCTGAGCGTGTGCTAGGATAACTATACGAGCGTAGGAATTGAAAGGTTAAGAGTTATCAAGCATCAATGTCAAGTAACGGTCGATGATTAAAGGCATTCAATGACTCAAGTTTAATTCGTTTATTAATTGTTTGTAACACCCAAAAAGGTGAAGAGTTTTATTGTATTAAAAAGATAATAAAATCTCGAATTAATAAGAGGAATTATACCTCCAATCCCCAATATACTTTAAATTCCCCCGGTTTGAGAGGAAAAAGGACACACTTATTCTTGAATACAATTTGCCTTGTAATTGTCTTCACTTTGTTCTTGTTATGTTTTTGAAGTTCTTTGTGTGCTTCAAGTATTCTGCCAATTTCCTTAACTAATTTATTTTTTCAATCCAAATAATCAATATAAGGATAGTGGATAAGTGTTGGACGAAACTTTGCCCGAACAGACACTATTTTTAAGCTACTGATTCATTGCTCATTATGATGGGACTGAGGTAATGCGTTTCACCTATCAACGTAAGTAGCCATAACTTAATGCATTACTAGTTACTCAAATTTTGCATTTAGGTAGATAGTTATGAAAAGTCTAAATTGAGGCTCTAAATCACACTTCCACTAAAAAAAGTAAAGCAAATCACATACCAAACTCCCTTTCGAATTTGATTAATTCATCTTATTATTACAATTATTTTACCTCAAGGAAAAAAAATGAAAGTAACACGAAATTACACCAAATCCAATTCGGCAGTACCCAATCAAAACACAGACTTCACTTAAGTAGTATATATAATTAATTATCACATCAAAATATAGCACAAATTAACAAACAACAAGACATCAAAGGAAAATTAGGTAAACAAATCTTCCATTTTCCAAATCATATGTACAAACAAACTTAATCCCCACATTTTTTTTTTCTGTAGGCGCACATGTACCAGAGGGATGAAGAAATAAGACTTTAGGATGATTTGGATGATCGCGTTGATCCCTTCACCACAGTGACTGGACAAGAAGCGTGTGTCACCACATAGTTACTCACACTGCCAAGTAAAACCCTGCAAATGTAATTGGGACAATTTTCTCATTAAATAATAATTCCTAACTTCAGAATGAAAAGGGAAAAAGAAATCCATTGTTGATTTTAAATTAATCTAATTTAATTATTAATTTTCAAAGGTGTGAAGGAATGAGGTTAAAAACATCTAGAGCACTATTCTTTGGATGGACAAATTTGACTAGAACAGAATTTGGAGGATGAAATGAAAAATTCCCTCTTTTTTTGGCATATAAACAGATAAAGAGATTCCTCTGTTTACTTGTGGCAATTTAAAGAGTTTGGATGGACAAATTTTGCTTATTTACTTGTGGCAATTTAAGTTATTTCTCTGTTGCTTGATTGTCATAATAAAAGACATTTATATCTGCATATTAGACGGAATACAACAAAACTATTTTTCAAGAAAAGGAAATTTTAAAACGAAAATTACAAAATAGAGGAAAATAGAGATAGTATTCATCAAGTGTATGTTATCAATTAATATACAACGTGACTAGATTTTCTTGGATTATATCATATAATTGATACGTTGAGTAAAATTGTAAAGGAAATATATGGGTATGGTTGAATTAAATTAGCAATTATATTAGTAGTTACCTTTTGATGGGGCCCAAACCCCTACTCCCAAGAACAAGAGAATCTAGCTTGAGTTGTTTCACAGCATCCAACAGCTTCTCTCTTGGGTCTCCCCAATAAACCTTAGCCACCACCTTTGCCCCTTTTGTCCTTGAAACCGTATCGAGTATATCAATCACCTCCGGTTCATTACTAAGTCCGTACTGCTTTGAGAAGTTTATCTCTCTGAATTCTTCAAGAGGAATCAGAGCTAAAAACAAAAACAAAAAAAACACGTGAAAAAAATTGTTATCACGCTAAAAGAAAAGAGAATTTTATGATGTATTATATCAGAATCATTATCAAAACAAATATATATATATATATATATATGCTTAATATGGAAGTTATGAAAGAGACTTACGTGATCCAGTGTCCTGGAAGAGCTCCTTCCTAGTATGATCAGCTTCGGGGGGCTCAACGTGGATTAGCACGACGAGATCACCGCCGTCGATCAGATTATCAACCGCCCATCGGAGGGCTGCTTTGCTGGTTGCGGAGTAGTCCATCCCTATGCCAATGGTGCGCGCCTTCCCCATTATTTCTCTTCTCTGTTTGTTGTGTTTGTGCTTTTTGTGTTGTGGGGGCTGCGGTTTTGGAATGCTATTTATGCATTGCGTTGTCTGACTTTGGATTCTATAGAAGATGAAGTTTCTCGAATGCGCTAGCTCATGCATACTTAATTAGAAAGTTGTATGTGTAATATTCCACATAATATAAAAGTCTCATGACGAATATGTATGTGTGTAAATTATTGATAGGGAGATAAGGAGCAGACATTATGGAAGGAAATGGAAGGAAACACTTTATTCCTTGGTGATGGCAAGTTTGGTAAAAGTAATCAAAGTTTGGGCATCACGTCATACTTAATCAAAAATAGGAATATAAATGGACCAATAAACAAATTATATATGTGAGGTACAGACTTTTGTGTTGTTAAGAGCATACAACACATATAAAGTAGGCCATCATCAAAATCAATACACACACACATAACTAAAGAAATCTAATACACATTATAATAATTTACAACATAACTGTTTGAATATAAATCTGTGTAATTCTCATTTTTATTATTATTTTGAAAATCATCACCGATTTGTGTAAACACTAAACAAGTCGTGAGAAGCTAGCCTTATTAGAGTCCGAATATTTAGTCTTGCTTAATTTGTGATCAGCACTTATCTTTATCATTTAAGCCACACAAAAAAAAAAAAAAAGGGAACAACACAATAAAACTGTGGGAAAACTTGCACATACATAACATTGGCAAATTACTTTTGGCATTTTGAATGTCACATTGATTTACGTTTGTTTAGATTTCACTATACTTTGATTTACACGCTACTTTTGGTTTAGCCACATGGTAAATTTGTATTGCATATGGGGGGCAAAGCTAAACAAAAGTTAAAAGTTCAATAAGGCTAAACTTATTTAAATATTCACTAAATAAAATGAGATTCCACCATGGGAAGCCATTGAGCTCAACTATACGATTCAAGTCAAACGGCTTATAAAGTAGATGTAATTATGTTGTCTGGAAAATCGTGTCACAATATCTAACCCCGCGCAATATTTAAATCCCTACAATGGATAAACCCTTAATTATTTAAGGGAGAAATTTTAAACATGTCCTTCCAAATTTAGGCACTTGCTCAGCACAATCGGTCACTATAATCAAATATCCAATCTGAAGTTTATCCAGAAGTGTTTGGTGAAAATGAAATAATCAGCAACATTACAAGCATCCCAGATGCAAAGTACAAGCATGAGGTCACTAAATAAAAGTTATACTGAAAAAAATCTTTAGTATACATGCAGCAAATACATGTGTTCGTCCATTGATATCCATCTCTAATGTCTTTTTTTATGAAGACAACCACAATCAAGAAAGATTTTTTTCTACTTTCTTGATCCAAATGGAAAACTCTGGTCATCGCATCCGATAAAGGAAATTGCTCTGAGAAATTCTAATGAACTATTTCCAAGTAGAACCACCAAGTCTAATAACCTCTTCACCACCACTGCTTCTCGGAGCCCTGTCAGCGCCACCATCGCCTTTTTGAGTGGCTAAATCGCCATACAAGTCTCTAATCTTTGCTAGGTTGCTGGAAGCCGAAGTCTTCTCCTTGTTAGCATCCCTTGGTGGGCTCGAATTAGCTGCAATCCCAGCTTGCAAGCTTTGGCTCCTGCTCCTGCTTGGGCTCCGGCTTCGTCTAGGATAATCCCTGCTACCATGATGACTACTTCTCTCAAAGTCCCTTCGCCCTTCTCTCTCCGCATACCTAGACCCTCGATCATAATCATAACTCGATTCTCTATCCCGCTCACGTTCTCTGTCCCTGTCCCTGTCCCGTTCTCTGTCCCTGTCCCGTTCTCTGTCTCTGTCCCTGTAGTCTCGGCCCCTGTCTCTGTCTCTGTCCCTGTCCCTGTCTCGATCCCGCTCCTTTTCCCTGCGCCTTTCCCGTTCCCGGTCCCTGTCCCTTTCACGATCCCGATTCCTGTCCCTATCCCTGTCTCCATCCCGCTCTCTTTCTCTATCCCGCTCTGGATATTCCCTGTCAGAATATTCACGGCTCTGGCTGCGACGGCTTCGTAGATCATCACTGCTGGATCTGTCATGAGATGGTGGTGGTGGTGGTGGTGGTGGTAGATTACGACGTACAGGTGAGGAGTCTCTTGTTGATGCACGGTGAGGAGCACGTTGACCAAAAGAGACAGAAAGCGCAGCTTTCACTGACGGGGGACGACGGGCAGTATCGTCGGATCCATGTCGGGTGGAATCCCCTGTCACACCAGAATGCTTGGAAGGAAGCTTCATCTTCTCAAGATCAGCCACAATCTGGCGCATTACAGGAACAGGGATTCGCGGAAAGAGAGTATCAAAATAGTACTGTGACAGCAATAGCATGGTATAAATTCCTTTCAGACACCAAGGATCACAATAAAGTCATAAAGTCAACGAAAGAAAATCTATATACCGAAAGAAATCTATAAACATAAAAGCAAAGATACTTTTAAACCATGCAGATTGTAAGGGGGAAAAAAATCACTAAGGCATGGAGAACTACAAAAATCATTGAATAAACCATAGAATGCCTTTGGCAGTCAATCCTCTTGATAGTACGGTAGCAGCATCTAAAGGCAAAGAAGAGCCATGAAAAGGGGTCCTAATGTCACTAACCAAGTGTTTCATGTGAAGTTTTTCACTTGCCCTTCGAGGCACTGCATTGGTTTTGCGTCATATGATTATCACCCTATAAGGAGTTTTTCATTTTTCCCCCTTTGCTGAAACTTACAAAGAAGTTAATTAAATAATAATTCATATAGATTAAAGTAAAGAAACTAATAGAGGCTAAGTTCCCTACCATGTAAACGCGCCCAAAAGAAACGGATATAAAATTAAAATAAAAGAGAGATTTAAGACTTAAAGAAAAGGGGCAGCCATAATTATCAGCATAAAAGTCATGAGCAGTATATTTTTCCATCACAATCAGTTATCCTTCCACTCCCCTTTCATTTATCGACCTACCAGCCAAGGATTGCGTCAATTTCTACCCCTTTCTCCGTTGACTATTGACACCCCATCCAGAGATCTCTCTAAACAAACAAAGCCTAAGGCGGGCACCATAATATGTAGAATTTGAGATATCAACGAACCTGTCCAAGAAGCAGATCACGCACGTAAGCACCCATTGTGCTCATTCGTCCACTGGATCCTGGAGAGAATTCCTGAAGAACAATATTATTTCTAGACATCAATAGAGTTCCAGAGAAAACAATATCAAGTGCACGCGCACACACACATGCATGCATGCATAATATCATGAACATAAAGACACAAGTATTTGTATGTTCACCTATTTACTTGGAAAGGAAGGTCCAATATGCTAAAGTATATGAATGTAAATCACACATGATAAAGTGGGGATCTTCCTTACAATTTTTCACAAACAGTTAAAGTTTTGATAATAGCATCTACAGAGTTAGACTAATGACAATCAACAGTAGATGGGTAACAAGTAAATCAGAATCATAGTAATAAATGCACATAAAGGGAGTAAAATGTTCTGCTGTATTTTAGCGGATTTATGGAGTCAAGATGACAGATAAAGAGGGTATAAAATGTGCTCCTTAATATGACAGGTTCTAGATTCAGATTGTCTTAAAGCTTCATTGTATCATGCATTTTTAATGAAGACTAACAGTTGGAATGGTATAAATCAGTAACAGGTGTCTGATTTCACATGTGATAGAAAATTCTCTAAGTCCAGGCACATCTCCGGTATGGGCAGTTTAGGTTTGAGCAAAGCTCAAATTAAGCTTCTCTTCTTCAGTCCCTTAATCTTTTCATCCTAATCTGAAATCTCCAGATTAAAAAATATTTGAAATCTTCAGATAATTTGAAATTTCCACGACTTCTATTAGGGTCTTACTATCCCTATATATACGACAGTTGTGTTTCCTAACATGTCAATACTCAGTAGTAGGATTGAAACAAAAACCATTGATAACTTAAGACACTCTTATTTTTTCTTTTTTATTATTATTATTTTTTAATATGTTAACTCTAGAAGAATAAGAAGTAGCAGCTAACATATCCTTTAGCTTGAATACCTACCTCTTCATCTCTAACATATGGTTCAAACCAAGTCCACAGCGTCTTTGGGTCCGCAGCATATCTCAAATAGAGGAATCCAATCTGCAAAAAATATACAAAATAACACATAGATGCATCACATGCTTTGAATTAATAAATAAGTAAATAAAATAACAGCACCAAAAACGACAATGACAAACCAGCAATCCCTAATTAACAAGAATATACCAGTAAGCACCAACAAAATGGTCTACATGCGACTATGCAATTAATAAATACGAACCAGCAGGTCACTCCCGGCATATTACGATAATTGATTTTTTCAAGTTTCCAAGGGCAAAAATTGGGGGAAGCTTACGAACGTGAACAATGGTAAGAAGTGGTTTGAGTCTCCATGTAATATGCAGTTAAAAAAAAAAAAAGATCATGCATTGAAGCAGTGAAAAAGAAAAAGAAAATAGAAGAAACAAAAAAATGACAAAAAAGCTAGGATAGAAAAAGTCTCAGAAACTAAAAAGAACAAGGACACATCAAACCTTAGTCTTGGAGTATTATGTGAGACTGAACACGTCTCAGTAACTCAAAGAAACAAGAACAGTCCAAGCTTTGTTTGTAAAATCTGCTAAGCAAAGTAAGTGCAATGTCATGCGCATGATCTCTCCATAAAAGGGCATGAAAATTAGAATTAAGAACTTAACTAAACTTACAAGTTCTCCCATTAGTGGGATAAATAACCAAGCACTTCACTTCTTGGTCAGGAGATGATGCAGTTCTACTATTCAATAAAGCTATGTCCATAGAAAAAGAAAAATAAAAGAAATAGGCTCCATGGAAAGCGGCGACAATTAAGACATCAGAAGAAGTATGCTGTTTGTCAAGTTTGTAAATGTTAAATAGTAGTTCCAGCCAAAAAAAAAAAACACCTAAATAGTAGTTCAGCACTTCAATGCCCATGCAAGGAAATAACAAAAAAGAAAATAGAAGAAGAAATATCAACATGGACATAAAAACTTCTACATATTGTTCCTTGGTATGGGATAAAAAACAGGATTTTACCCCTATATCTCACATAACAATTCATGGCTCAGGCAGGAGTCAATCCCCAACCATGGGAAAGCCAAGGGACTTTACCAACTACAGTAGCAGGAATCTCCGTGAAATAAATATATTTGGGAAAAAATATATGTATCATGATAAGTGCACGTGATTAAAAACACGCCTTTTAAGTATATCCAGTGCAAACTTTTTTTTTTTTTTTTTTGACATAAACGCACATAAGCAGAACACACAAAACCCACAAGAAGATTGACCAGAAGGTCCATCAAGAGAACGTAACACCATGACCTATAAGTGGACTCTTAAATGACCCTATCCAGTGCAAATAAACACAACAATCAATTATCAGTCGCTCTTTCTTTTCCATTCATCAGTAAATTGATTATTGCCACATTTCACCTTTCCTAAGTCCTAGACTTCCAGGTAGTGCATGTTTTACTCAGGTGAGTTACCTATCACATGCTCTATGGTACTGAAGTGGCACCATGAATACTTCAGGTTGCGAAAACATATACAAATTATGATGCAAGAGCATATTTGAACTTGAGAGGCGGCTTACGTGGCCTGGGCCTCGAAGAAGTGCCTAGGCCCGTCTATTGGGTGCGCCCACAATTCATATGGGACTCCTCGAAGTAAGGGCCCAAACGAGTAGTACTTGGGGTGGATTCCTGAGTTTGGTCCTGGGTGATGTTTAAAGGATTTGATTGCGCTTTGGGAGGAATGGTTGCGTTAATCCTACATCAATTGGTATCAGAGCAGGAGGTCCTACGTTCAAGTCCCCATGGGTGCGCCCTAGAGGGGGCATTTTTCTAAGGAGGGAGAGATGCAGGAGCATATTTGAACTTGGGAGGCGGCCTACATGGCTTGGGCCTCAAAGAAGTGCATGGGCCCGTCTATTGGGTGCGCCCACAGATTCGTAAGGGACTCCTCGAAGTAAGGGCCCAAACAAGTAGTGCTTGGGGTGGATTTCCGAGTCTGGTCTTGGGTGATGTTTAAAGGCTTTGATTGCGCCTCTCCATCTGCAAACACATCTCCCCCTGTGTTCCATCGGTTACCTATCACCGAAGGTCGCACATCTGTTGTTGCGCCTTGGAGTGGCTGAGCAATGGATCCAGAGGCACATCTCTGACGTCCAGCTGCAGCCATGGTTTGGGTCGAACACGCCCCTCGATTTCTCGGTCCTCGCATCATGCTGAACCCATAGATCTCCAACTCGTTCAGGTAGATGGCGAGTGAAATCTCCCCTTCGATTCTGTCGGAGCTCTTGATCTGCCCAGAAGGCCTTCGCACCTCAATCATCATCGACAATACGGCAACTCGTTCCGCCATAGCCGGCCATCACACCCATGGGAAAGATCAGTGGCTCTGATACCACTTGACGTAGAGAGTCTAACAGGAAGAAGCCAAATCCATAGCAAAGGCCAAATCCCTGGCCGATGAAGGCAAATCACCAAAACCCAAAAAGAGGGACTGCAATTCTATTTTCAATGTTCCAAAAAAACTAAACTATTACAAATGAGTCTCTTAACTTATATAGACATTCCAAACGACACTAAACTTAAGATATAAAAACGACATCAAACGTATCATAAAGAAACGACAACAGATATGACTGCATCAAATTACCCATGAAAAAAGCACTAAAATGGAGCCATGACTATACAGAAAAAACTCCAGGACGAGATAATCACATTAGATAGCAATAACAAATCTTTCATAATTTCATAACTTACAAAAATAAATGCAACAAATTGGAAGATCCGACAGAAAGCTTACATACCGCTCTAATATACGGAGAATCAGTGTGCTTTAACAACCCGTGCATTTGCTTGACAGTCAGCTTCATAGTGAAAAACTTGTAGAGAAGGCAAAACGCGGTCGAGGGACCGCGGCAGTTCCCCGTCATCCATGGCTCCACATGGTCAACTTGATTATAGATTTCGTCAATCACCTCATGGTATGTCTTCAAGCGGTAAAGCTCTTTGAAGTAATCAGAAGACAGAATGTTCATACAAAGCACCTTCTCTAACAATGAGTCAATCGGTTTCCCACAAGTCTGTATCTCCATATTGTCTCATGAAAGTTCTATGACAACTATTAAGCAATTATTAACCACGCAACAATGCGCTTAAAGAATTAAGGCAGCCTCAACAAATCATAACCCCTTTCCTAGAACACAAAAGAACAAAAATGAAATTTAGAAATCACTAAAATTCAACAATAGAATCCAATACCAAGTAAAATAAATACACTTAAAGCAAGAAAAATAGGTAAAAGAAGCTAAATTGACTTCATTTATCTACTGATAAGCTAAGTCCTCGAAGTTTAGGAACCACTAACAATTCAACAAATAGAAGCAAATTATAAAAAAAAAAAGGAAAAAAAAAAAGAAAAGATAACCCAATAACAAAAAACTCATAAAAGCATGAAAATTTGGTAAAGAAGCAAAATTGACAAAGTGAATGAAGAAAACACTAAAGTACGAGTTAAATAGGGGAAAACTAGCAATGAATTGAGGGAAATAAGAGGAAATTCAAGACAGACATGGAAGAATTAAAGAAAAAACGAAGAAGAAATGAGGGAAGTAAGAGGAAGCAATAATCGAAAACCCTAGAAAGAAAAAGCAGAAAATTAAGAAGAGAAGAGGAGAGAGAAGATTTTACAGATTAGAAATGAGAAGAAATTGGGGCGGAATTTGGGCGCCTAGGGCTGCTGGGCTCAGCTCAGGCCGTCTTCGACGTCTTCCGTTTGCTCGGGTCGGCTGTTAGAAAGAGAAGACTCAGAAGAGAAACCTCTCCTCTTCGATTTCTCTTCTTTTTTTTTCTTTTTTTTTTTTTTACGGTTTTAATTTAACGCGATGATGATGATGCTTGTTTGGTTACGCGGATAGGATGCAATGAACCGCGTTTGCCATTTTTTCCAAACCAAAGGCAATGGCCGAGGTTTCTTTTTTTTTCTTTTCTTTTTTTTCGCATTTGTCTTTGAATTTGTAGGGCTTTGACAATTTTCGTCTTGAATTTTTAATTTTAATAATGTGACCCTAATTTGTAAAAGTGCTGAAATGTGTCCCATTTTATCGATTCTGTTTAAATTTTGTTATCATAGTTAGGAGATTGAGAGTTAAAGAATTAAGATATTTGTGTTATGGTTTAAATAAAGATGAAATTATTGTCGAACGTGTTTGTCACTAATTTAACATAATAGTAATTAAAATGGAGCACATTGTATCAGTTTTTCAAGTTACGATAATTTTACATGAACTTTCTCTATAAAAATAGATTACGGGTAGTCTCTTAATTTTTAGCTCTCAGATTTATATCAGAATCTGTTTATTCTGTATAATTTTTTTAATTTGATATGATTTTAATTAGATTTAACAGTTAAAAATTGAGACTATTAATAAGATAGATTACCAAAAAAAACTCCCTAATTTTACCACAAGAATTAAGTTTTGAATATGACAAGTCAACAAGCCTAGCAATAGTAAGACAAGGGCAAACTATGACAGAACAAATTAAGAAAAAATTCATTAGCAAAAAGAAAAAAAAAAAGAACGTGGAAATCTCGGAATCTCTTTTCAATTCTCATTCGTTCTTAAAAGCTATTAACCAAAAGTACAACAAGACAATTTATTTTTGACGTACAAAAGGCCCAAAAAAGGTCACTAGCTCCCCCAAAAAAGGGTTTAACTAAAGGATCACAAAGGCCGAAAAGGTCACTCTCTCTACTGGCTTTTCCTCAAGAAGCTGGATTAACTGACATATGTGGCAACTAAAAAGCCCTGTATATCACTCGAATCATTTGTATATGCATGACCACATAAGAAGTGGGAAATTATGGAGCATTGTACAGAATTAAAGCCCAAAAAAAAGAAATAAAAAGGAAAAAACATGAGGAGACTAGTTTCTTATAGAAGGGTAATTGGTTGTTGGCAAGAGCCAAATTTGTATATTTCACTTGTAAATGGCCTTGAGAGTGTGACGGCTCTGTTGGAAACTGTAGAGTTGGCTGTTAGGAATAATGCAGCTCGAGCACTTCCCGCTGCTCATCATGCTCATGAAACTTGGCTCTCTCGGAACTGTCAATGGCCTGTTTGATCTGCACATATACATATGCATATATACATACATATATATATATATATTTGAACAATATTAACAACTATATCAATTGAAATGGCTTTAACTTTTGTCACATAATTGTAAGTTTAATTAATTAGTACCTCTGTGGAAAGAAAGGTCTGTCAAAGAAAGGCATTAGTTGAGCTCTAGGAATCATCTCCTTTCTCAGCAGCCGGATCTCCTCCTCTTCTATCAACTGTTCCATCAATTACAATCCGTGTACATTATTTACCGCTGAAAGGACTGAATTGTCTTTTTACCAATGAAATTTTTTCAAATTTTGATGATAAAAATAATATTTACAGCGATATTGCTAGTAAAAAGTTTTTTTTCATTTTTTTTCCGTTGTGTAAGCATATAGTTCATATGTGTATATGTACAAACCTTCTGTAACCTCTCTTCTTGTTTTTTCTGTTGCTCTATGAGATACAGTTTTGTGGCTACCTGTATATGTACACTATATGTTACTAAAAGATCTTGGGAAATACGTACTTACATCTTTAAGCCACTAAAGAGTCCAGATTATATATGTAAATCATGAAAAATCAATGCTCATTTACCTCATAGTTGAAGATTGCCCGTTTGATGGCTCTTTGTTGGGTATGTAGTTTGATTTCCTGTGGCTTGGTATTTTCTTTTGCTGAAGGCCTTTGATAAGTCTATGTATATAAAGTAGTTGGACCAAAGTATAAATATTTAGGGAGAGAATATGGTATAATACTATAATAATTCAGTCTCGTTATTTATTCAAGGTTACATAAAAAGAAATAAAAAAGAAAAAACATGAAGAGACTAGTTTCTTATAGAAGGGTAATTGGTTGTTGGCAAGAGCCAAATTTGTATATTTCACTTGTAAATGGCCTTGAGAGTGTGACGGCTCTGTTGGAAACTGTAGAGTTGGCTGTTAGGAATAATGCAGCTCGAGCACTTCCCGCTGCTCATCATGCTCATGAAACTTGGCTCTCTCGGAACTGTCAATGGCCTGTTTGATCTGCACATATACATATGCATATATACATACATATATATATATATATATTTGAACAATATTAACAACTATATCAATTGAAATGGCTTTAACTTTTGTCACATAATTGTAAGTTTAATTAATTAGTACCTCTGTGGAAAGAAAGGTCTGTCAAAGAAAGGCATTAGTTGAGCTCTAGGAATCATCTCCTTTCTCAGCAGCCGGATCTCCTCCTCTTCTATCAACTGTTCCATCAATTACAATCCGTGTACATTATTTACCGCTGAAAGGACTGAATTGTCTTTTTACCAATGAAATTTTTTCAAATTTTGATGATAAAAATAATATTTACAGCGATATTGCTAGTAAAAAGTTTTTTTTTCATTTTTTTTCCGTTGTGTAAGCATATAGTTCATATGTGTATATGTACAAACCTTCTGTAACCTCTCTTCTTGTTTTTTCTGTTGCTCTATGAGATACAGTTTTGTGGCTACCTGTATATGTACACTATATGTTACTAAAAGATCTTGGGAAATACGTACTTACATCTTTAAGCCACTAAAGAGTCCAGATTATATATGTAAATCATGAAAAATTAATGCTATTAGAAAGATTTTTCTAATAAGCTCATTTACCTCATAGTTGAAGATTGCCCGTTTGATGGCTCTTTGTTGGGTATGTAGTTTGATTTCCTGTGGCTTGGTATTTTCTTTTGCTGAAGGCCTTTGATAAGTCTATGTATATAAAGTAGTTGGACCAAAGTATAAATATTTAGGGAGAGAATATGGTATAATACTATAATAATTCAGTCTCGTTATTTATTCAAGGTTACATTTATACGTACTTTAACTTTGTCATAATTTCGTTCTTTGTACACTTCATCTTTTGCCTGATAAAAAAGCCACGAATCATTATGATAAAAAGTGGACCTTCAAAGTATGCATGCATACAAAGAGAATATGTTTATTGTTTAAAGAGTAATATATATATATATATATATATATTTATATAACTGCCTATTACGTGAATTTGAAGAGCCATATTTGAAAGCGGAGAAGGTTTCTAAGGAATATCCCAACAAACCATGCTCTATTTTAAGAGGATAAGAAAGAAAAAAGATATATATTGCTTTTGTCTTACTTTGTCCCCACCAGCACTTACCGTGGCTAGCGCATGTGCACTAGCACAAGCTAATTGGATTTATATTAATGTGTGCCCACTCTCTAGTCTCAGACGCGCCCACCCTTTGGCCAGTCAAAGCACGCGCAACTTTTTTAAGCTATATTAACAGGCTTTTAACTCTAGTACTTGTAAATCACCAAAAAAACAAAAAAAAAGCCTCTAGTACTAGTAAAAGGGAAAAATGTAGACCATAATGAGAACCTTGAAGATATGTGCACATAACACTGCCCTCATAATTATGACCAACGCACAAGGATATGGATTTTGATCCAATAATCTCACTCCACCTCAGTAATATCAAGTGTAAAAGGCATAATATATATATATATATGGAAAACGACATTCCCCCAACTTATATATATTGTTAATTATTTATCTTGAAAATAAAGTATACCAAATTGGAAGTATGTGAACTGATGGCAACTCAAATATTTTTAAAATGTATTCAAAGACAAGCCCAATCATTTCAATTTTTTCAATTTGTTTGTTTCTTTTATGACAAGGATAAAAATATAATGATCAGTCAAAAGTAAACAAAAATATTGCACACATGCCGTTAGTAAATATATAAATATTAGTTATATAGAGGTGCTGCATAGTACGAACTTCTCAAGCTGATTTTCTTTGGACAGCCGCGTTAAGGATATAGATTATTGTTTCAAATCATCAAATAATTCTGATCACAAGCACATTAATATTATTCGTGATAAGAAAAATGTTGAGAAATGAAACTTACTAATTGATAGGAATAATTAGTAGAGAAGTAGTTTTTAAAAACAAGAGAGAAGGCAAGACTTCCATGCAGATGTGAGAAGGAGAGATAAGAGAAAGTAGACTCCAGATTAAGAAGATGGTTAATACGTTTGCCATACATTATTATTATTATTATTATTATTTTATTTTTGCCAACAAAAAACACTGCAGCAGAAAAGATTGAACTGTAATTTAAACCCGCGAAACAAACAAGCTCAAGTAGCGAGATCTAGCCAGTGGCAGAGTAACAAAGCTCCACGAAAACGGTTAACTGGATTGAGATGATGGTTTTTCAATGTTAATGAACTATGATATCTCTCACCATTCCTCTCTCGCTGGAGCTCCATGAAGCTGAAGACAGTGAAGCACTCCTCACAAACTTCTCAATCATTAAGCAAAAGAAAGCAAAAAAAAGAAAATTATTAGACTCTGATCAGTACTACTCCAATTAATATATTAACACTGAAATATTCCACTAAACAAAAGAAACCAAGAATAATAAGCAATCAACCTTGAGAGAAGACTTGGCGTGTGACTTCTCCATGTTAATTATAACTTCACAAAACGCAAGTAAATTGCTTGTTTGTTGTTTGGATATGATTAAGTAATGGATGTGGATTAACAAAAACGAAGCAAAGGAGTATATATATAGGAGCGGGAAGAAGCAAGTAGCTAGTTAGTAGTACACTGGTGTTGAAGTTTGGAGATTGGTACTTGTCTTGAATGGCATTGTAATTTCTGTTGCTCCATCAGCACCAACAAACAATGCGCTCAAAATTTTTTTGCATGCTTTCTCAGGCACCAAACTTTCTGATTAAATCTCCCTCTCATTCATACTACTGTCAAATCCCTCTTTAAGTTCCTTCAAATCTCCTCTTGCCTTTTTAATTCTCTCTCGCATGCCAAATAATCAATATATTTTCTGCCTCTTTTTCACATTAACGCGCCTCTTAAGTAATCGAACACTAATATGGCTTTGAAATTATCGAGTTAGAGCACAAAACTAAAAGACTAATCATGCGCAATCGATTCATTTCTAACGTTCGTGGGGCCAATTCTACTTAAAAGACGGGCTCAATATCACGCTTATCATCCCATTTTTAATCGCTGTACCATCCTGTTAGTGGTGTTTATTTTGTTTAATTGGTTCGTTAGTCAAGTTCACTCACTTAATCTGCGCATAACTAAGCGTCCGTGCATTATGACCTATTATGACTGTTTTCTAATTAGGAGATTAGAGAAAGAGAAAAAGATAATGATCAAAAGCATAATAATAGTGATCAATTTAGCTCATTAATCATGTAGTACTGTGCTTAATTATGTCTATGTCATTTCCAAACAAGTAGCTTTGGTTGATGAAGTCCAAAGGTGAAAAAGTGAGCATAAGGGCCAGGTTGTTAAGCCCCAACTTTCGAATGTTTCTTGTTAAATCCGTTAACGAGGCCTAGACAGAAAGCCAACCTTTGATTACATTTTAGAGGGAAAAAACTTGGCTTTTCTGTGGTAAGAGAAACGTCCTGCTATAAGTTAGTTAGATGATGGTCGTCTTTTTTGTTTATATAAGCTACTAATAATAATGCCACATAATGCTTAAAGTTGAAGTCTTGGGAAATTTCATGATTAGTCCAGTACACTATTTAACTAAATTAATTAGCTACTAAACCTAACTTAATGTGATAATTTAACGACATAGTTAACAGAATCAAGCCCTTTAATTAAATGCACAACGTTGAAATATATGGTTATCCAGCGCACTAGATTATGATCAGTACTATAAGTGCAGAATTTGGTACTAATTAATACTGTCACTTCAATGGATTACATGCAAGTTTTCTTGCGTTTGAAGAAGCCCAGTTGGATTTTAATTAATATTATTAATTTAATACTCCAAGCTGGTGGAGGCTTTTGGTAAATGGTCATGGAGATCCTTGTTAGCCGTTGCTCTATCACTCACAGATTCACAGATGTGCTTAGTGTGTGGCGATAGAACATTAATGGGACGTTTAGTTCATAAATTTAGAATTATGATTCAGAATCATTCTTGATTTACGTATGTTTTTTTGTATAAAAAAAATACTGTAGCGAGTTACGAACCATTATACAGATCCTTGCTCCAAACGCATTGTAATAAAATGATGTAACTAGGGTGTGGAAAAAAAAAAGATAAGTCGTGAAAACTGATCAATTCAAATCAAACTGAAACAAATCATTAATATTTTTGAATTATTAGTCCGTTTTTAAGTATTCTAGCCACTATTTTTATGGTCGATTTACTTATTAGTTTGGTAGTCTAAAATTGATCAAACTAACCAAATTAAAAACCAACAAAAAATGTATATATGAAATTTTTATAACATGACTTTTATTAGTTAAAAGTTATTTTTGCAGATATTAAAATAGTAGTCTACCCGTAATTTTAAATATTACTTTTAGAGGTGGTAAACTTTATTATACAGTTAAATGGCAAACCTTGAAATTATATGAAGAACTTTGCACGTCTGTCCAATGTCTAAAATTTTTTGAGCTTAAATCTAAATCAACCAAAGCAAACAACCCAAACCAATAATAAATAGTTTGGTTTCATTTGCTCTTTCTTTAAATACCAAACAGCACAACCCCTTTTTTTTTATTTTTAAAAAAGTTGTTTGATATGTTAATTTTACTTTAAAAAAAAACCACAAACACGTATGCGATTATTAATAAGGTCGTATAGTGATAAAGATGTCTTTTTTTTTTTTTTTTTTTTCTCTTTCAGGATGTCCACGGTCTTAACCAATTAAGAGATTGCATAATGTTGGACCCATGATAATTTGTATGAAATTAGACTAATCGTTCGAGTATAATTGGGTCGGGTTCTTTTTCTTTTATTAGACATAACCAGCAAATTAATAGAATGATGTTGCTTCATAGGATTGGAGAAGAAAACAATATGATATGAAAAAGAAAATGAAAATAAATTGCTTTGATGGCGATTTGAGCAAGAAAAGAAACTTCAGCGAATCGAGTCAAAACCATAAGATGCCGTGCAGATATAATGCTTCCTTTAGCATATTTGTCTTCGTTGCGTTGCATCTTCACCAAATTACTTTCGAAGATAATATATAATTTAGCAACTAACATGTGAATTAAAGGTTATTCGAAGATCTTAACATGTGAATAAACATACTTTAACATTGAAGTTTATATTCGAATTATTATATACGTCCCAAATTACAAAACGAGGAAGTTTCTCAAGTTCTCAACTTTGTCAAGTTTCGGATTTCAGAACTTAAAACTCACTCGTTCATACGAATTGAGGAAATCAGCGTATGTAGTATTCCATCGATGGCATTTTCCTAAAACTATGTAAGTTTCGTTAGAATATTGGGTAGCTTACTCTGGAAAAGTAATGATCCATTTCCGTTTCCGATTAGGTTACTTGGATCAAATTTGAAGAGTGATTACCGATTGAGCCTTGGGTAAGCTGTCGTAAGCATAGTAAATTGGTCAATAAAAGGTGTTTTCTCAAGATTACCGCTAGTAATCTATCAGATTATATTTTTGGAATGAACAATGACCACTGGCTTGTTGACGGAGTAATTTACCACATATGTTGCCTCTTCTTAGTTTTTAACGCAGTCACTTGTCGTCTCTTGCAGTAGTCGTGGGTGCCGGCTGCCAGAGTAATCCGGTAAATTACTACTAGTAATCTATCAGATTAATTGTCGGAATCAACATAGACCATCAGTCGCTATTGCCTAGAGTAAAAAGGTTAATCTACCAGATAATTGCTGGAATCAACACAAAAACAAAAACTTTAAAACAAAAATAGGATTACAAATTGTTTACTAAATTTAGTCACGTATTATTAAATTATCAAATTATTCAAAGACACTAAACACATTTCTATCACATATTATCGTGAACAACGACCGCAGCCTGCAGATGGTCACTATTGGTTCCAATGTCATTTGATAGATTACTGATGATAACATAGTAGATTATTATTTTTTTACCTGTGGAGGCAACTTCGATACAACATATTTTGTTGACCTTTGATCAGTCCATTTGCATGGCACAAACCAAAAGCTGCAATATTTGTGGTAGAAATCCAAAGGTTAGGCTTTCTTGTGGCATTCCTAATAATTTCCCTAAGTGCACTCCACGGATCAATTATTCGTGGATCGAACAAATTTTACTGTTGTTAGTCATTGGATTCAACTCACATGTTTTCTTTCTGTCTTTTTTTTTTTCAATCCTTTTTTATGTTATCCAATAATATCACGTCACAATAATTAAAATACTTTAACTGATACAATATTTAAATTTATATGGTATGATATTTCGAGTAACTAATGAATATTTCAAACCCGTGACGGGAGAAACCCTTCCATCCTATTAATTTAAACAAGTCATTGCCTTTCTTCGTGGGACAATTGGTGGCAGAACTACTCCATTAGAATTTGTCTCGTTGCCATCCCTATAGACTATGGTTTCGTTTATTTCACCGATTTGAATTTAGAATTCAAATTTTACTATAATAAAAAGCTCTCAGAAATAGTCGTATCTATATTTTTTATTAGAGTAAAAAGCTCTCACATAAAGTCATATCTCAACTCGAATTAAAAATTTGAATTAACAAACTAAACAAACCCTATGCATCGAGCTCGATTCGAGTAACATCTCATGTAATTTTACTAAATAGCCATTGAAAGGACCATGTGATGGGAATTTACTTCTCCCCCTCCATTCTTTAACAACTAACTATTACGCAAACCCGCCAAATTCATTAATGTCCCACCAATTTATAATTTATATTTACCCTTCATTAAAATTACATTAAACCCATTAACATACCCCACATTAATTATAAATGGAAATAAATTTGTTTTTTAAAAGAGCATACACCAATATTAACTATAATTAGAAAGTAATTTTTTTAAAGGAATAAAAAAGCATATCCTACTTTTGTTTTACCCTAAAACAAAATTAATCTGAAAACATGGAACGTAAAACAAATCTTCATTCGTTTTGCCTATTAGCAATATAATTAAGCAAAATAATCAAATGAGCAACTTTGTGAGGATCAAACACCGAGAGTTGTTCTTGTGCTTCTTTGTTGAAAGAAGAACAAGAAATATGACGGGATAAGATGAAAACAATTGATAAATAAAGATAAAGGGAATTGCACCAATTTAAAAAAATATATATAATATTTATTAAATAGTCGCATATATATTTTTTATTAGAGTAAAAAGCTCTCACATAAAGTCATATCTCAACTCGAATTAAAAATTTAAATTAACAAACTAAACAAACCCTATGCATCGAGCTCGATTCGAGTAACATCTCATGTAATTTTACTAAATAGCCATTGAAAGGACCATGTGATGGGAATTTACTTCTCCCCCTCCATTCTTTAACAACTAACTATTACGCAAACCCGCCAAATTCATTAATGTCCCACCAATTTATAATTTATATTTACCCTTCATTAAAATTACATTAAACCCATTAACATACCCCCACATTAATTATAAATGGAAATAATTTTTTAAAAAAAAAGAGCATACACCAATATTAACTATAATTAGAAAGTAATTTTTTTAAAGGAATAAAAAAGCATATCCCACTTTTGTTTTACCCTAAAACAAAATTAATCTGAAAACAAGGAACGTAAAACAAATCTTCATTCGTTTTGCCTATTAGCAATATAATTAAGCAAAATAATCAAATGAGCAGCTTTGTGAGGATCAAACACCGACAGTTGTTCTTGTGCTTCTTTGTTGAAAGAAGAACAAGAAATATGACGGGATAAGATGAAAACAATTGATAAATAAAGATAAAGGGAATTGCACCAATTTAAAAAAATATATATAATATTTATTTTTGATAATAAAAAATATAATATTAATAGTTGAAGGAGATCATATTATTTTATAAATAAAATTAAGATAAAAAATTATATGGAAGTATAAAAGTGCTAAATTAAGTATTATAAAAATTATATCTTTAAAGAGATAAATTTTTTAAATTGTTATTAAATGAGTATTAATTAATAGAGACATTTATAAATTTTTGAGGCACAAATATAACTACTCTCGCAACAATTGCACATCTCATCTTACTAGAATGTGTCACTTGGAATTCCATATCCGGGCCAAAAATTACTTGCAATTAATCCCGATTTATAGTCAGATGCTAAAATGGTCCAACTCATGGACTATCTTTTTGGACTTTCCTGTAACAATCAATGAAGCACTATATAGGGCCCACACTCGATTATTATCCCAGAATCTGAGTAAGAACTCGCCACGTGTACATTATATATTAATGTATAGTTGTCACATCACGTGCTCCTCCCTTCCCTCTTTTTTCCCCATCTTTCTCTCTCTAAAATTGAGGATTCTCATCCAACTAACTTCCGGAAATTATAACCCCAAAAAAAAAAAAAAAAAAAAAAACCAGTGAAGATCTCTCCCTTCTTTCACTAGAACAAGAAGAAGAGTAAAACGACACATTTTTACTATTCCAAAAAAGGAAAAAAGATGGAAGAGAATTCCAACGACACCGGCGCCAACCGGGCCCACCGACGGGACGACGAGACCCTCAACGGCGTCGTCCACCGTCTGATCTCCGAAATTCTCTTCCCTGACGCGAGCGGCGACACCGCCGGTGCTCCGCTGCTGCAGCGGATCAAGACCTCCGTCGCCGAGAACGGTCCCTTGCTTCCAGAAGCTTCTAGAAACACCGCTAGCAATGTTCTTCTCTGGACTCGCAGGGGTAGCCCTCTCCGCGCCCTCCTCGTCATATCGGTGAGTCCCTCTCAACTTCAAAATAGTACGTCTTTTTTTTTTTCTTTTAATTTCTTTTAGTTAATTATGCTGTTGGAGTTTCGTTTGATTTGCTTGATTAATTAGGTTTAATCTTTTGTTTTTTTTTTTTTCCGTTTGTTCTCTTAAAATTAATTAGGATTAATCGGAGCTTGATGAGGAAAGATTTTGATGATTGAGGCCTCAAAAGTCAGAACTTTTTTCTTTCAACAAATCAACTGATCTTCATAGGAAATGGATAATCGTGTTTAGTTCCTTCTTAACTGAAGGAAAATTCTCCGAAATTTGATAGTTAAACAAATATTATTCGGTTGGTTGCAATTCGATCTGCTGATGAACTGAAATGATAAAGTTTTTTTTTTTCTTTAAGAAATAAATTGCAATTATTTAGTTTGACAATGTGTGTTTAACGTGTATGATTTTTTTTCCCCTATAAATTTGTTTTCCTGCCTTTCTATAGGGGACCCTCGTATATATATATATATTTTTTTTTTTTTTTTTTTTGCAGTTTTTAAAATTAAATAAGATAAAACAAAATTGAATAATAATTGAAGTGTCAAATTTTATACAGAGTATCAAGTTGAATAATAAATTAGTTTGACAATATTGTTAGCTAAATGTCTTTTCAAATTTGAAAGGGAAAAAAAAAAGAAAAGAAATTGTACATAAAGGAAAGAACAAGAAATTGTCCTTTTAAAAAGTACAAGAAAGAAAGAAGAAAAATTGTGGAGGAAAAAAAAGGTCATTTTGAGTGAAAGGAAGTGTTGACTGAGCGTGAAAGGTTATTTTTACAAAAATAATTTTGTTTCTTCTAGGGTAGGGCCTATAATCTATAGTGCCCGTTTCAGATACTTAACGATCTGATTAAAACCACAAAAAACTGAAAATGTATGCAGTTTCTGAGCAAGATTTGATGGTTAAAAACAGAAAATTCCTGATAACTCATTTTTTCAAGACCCACTAACTCATTTTTTTAAGACCTACCGTGAAATCTCCAAATAACTAATAATTTATTAAAGCCCCAAAGTAGCTTTGGAAATAACAATTGGATTTTGTAAAGATCATTTTACATTGTTTATTGTATTGAAATATAATTCTTGTAGTAAGCCTAGAAAATACTAGTAAATGAGGCACCTATGAAAACAATGAAACCAGGACCAAGGGGAATCAAAGACTTTGGTTATAGATTTCTCCTCGTGTTGACTGTTGACAAAATGTTTAATGTAGCTTCAAACTATTTGATGACTTTTCGAATGCTATAAACTATGTTTGGGATGGGATTTGGTATTTGGTGTCTTTATGGGCGTCAACTTATAAAATAAATGTTCCACTGTCTATGATTCTTTTTGACTGGCTTGTTGTTTTCTTTTGTTTTTTGTTTCATTTTGGAGTTCTGCATGTTCTCCTGATTTCTATCTTTCCATTCTCTCAATAAAATGCTCGTTTGCCCTTAGAAAGCGAAAAAAATTAAGAATTAGCTGAACATCATCCTGATATCCTTGTAGATGGGGAAGTTAGTATTGAAATCATAACAGGGCATTGGAAATATGTTGTCCTTAGATCTTTATATTGGTTGCTCTGTGGAGTCCTTCTTTCAATCTTGGTGTTTTTGTTGATATTTTTGAGAGTACAAGAATTTAGATTCCTGCAGCAAATGTTGCTATGTGATACTGCAGTTCTTTAAGAATAGTAACTCCCTGTATAGTTCTTTGTAGTTTGTATGGTCTTCTGTGTAGATAATGGTTCACACTTGTCAACAAATGGGAGGAGGAAAAATAGGAGAAAACCAAAATAATGTTTAGAAGAGTAAATCTGGACAAGTCTTATCAACATATAATGATCTGATGCCTGGTAGACAGATGTAGCTGTTGTAAAAGCAGAGGAAGATTTTGGATATCTTATAAAGTTTGCATGTGCATTAACTATGACAGACTGAATAAACTAATTTCTTTAGAGACATTATTTTTATGTTACCTATTTCTACCCACTGACGTCAGCGTTACGTGATTTTCACTATTTCCATGTTTGTTGAATTTAATTCTAATGCCTAACCCAAAAAGAAGAAAGAGCATGGTAATGACATTCTTGACTATTTTTAAATGTCATTCTACGTGATTTTCACTATTTCCATGTTTGTTGAATTTAATTCTAATGCCTAACCCAAAAAGAAGAAAGAGCATGGTAATGACATTCTTGACTATTTTTAAATGTCATTCTTGGTAAGAAGAGCACAACCGCTTTTCTTTTCTCGTCTCACATAAAACTTGCTTACACAGAACACGCAAAAATGCTAGTAGTATGCTATGCTTTCACCTCAGTTCAGTATATTTTCGTGATTTATGAATTTCTTACCACCAATTGTTTTACTGCAGGTTGGGACGATCACTCTTCTTGCCTTGACAGGACTGCTAGTCTTTATGGTTTTCTTTTTGGTGGCAACTTTCAATGCCATTGTTGTCTCTCTTCTCATATCTTTGGCTGCTGCTGGAGGATTCTTGGCTCTTTTCTTCGCTTGTGTGACAGCTATATACATCGGGGCATTGTCCATCGCTGCGTTTGTCATTTCCACTACTGCAATTACTACAATCATAGCTGTTCTCATAGCTGCCGGTACAGATATATGCCCTTTCTTTCGTTGCATGTTTTGTGTCTTTCCTATCCCAAAACTATAATCTTACAGGTCCAAAGAACCTGTATCCGCACACTTTAAATATTTAGTTAGTTAACTAGGATTAGAAGTAGTAAATATGGCACTCTTATCTAATAAGGAAATAACAATTACTCAACATATCAAATTAATTGAGAATTAGGTGAACCTAAGTTGAGACTTGAGATTGAGGAACTGAGTAGTCTGTCTGTCTTCTTTCCCTGAAAACTTTCCAAAACCAACAAATCAGTGAGGCTGCCCACTTTCATTCTATCTGGCTGGGTGCAATCTTTTATTGGTTTGTGAACTTGATACAATGTATAGTATGTACTTTATGAGTTACTATTTTCTACTGTTGTGCCTGAAGACGTCCTATGGGGCCTTAAGGTTTTATTTGTTTTCAATGAGCAACCATGTTTCTGATCAACCATAACCCCAATACGAGGTGCTTATTGCATTTCTTGTTGAATAAATTAGGGTGGATTGGATTCTTTTGCACTGTGTGGTTGGTGATAAAGAAAAGCTTGGGATTGGCTAAGCACTCATTGAGCATGACTAGTTCGGCACTTTCAGCTTACTCCACTGCTAGGCACACTCACCAACATCAGACGGTAGACAAGGTCTCAGATTGAAGGGTTCACACGCATTCGAATTCAGGTTTCAGAGTTTCGCTGATTTGATGCCGTCTTTTTGTGGATCTTGTGGAAGCTGCTGCATTTTGTTACTTGCATGTGGATAGAAGCATATGAGTTTGTCTAGTAATTTTACCCGAGATAACTCTACATTGTGGCTTCTTATTTGCTAGCTAACACTCGTATAGCTTCTTATCTTGTCCATATTATCTACATCTTTTTTTTACGTTTCCTGTTTTGTTTTGCACATTTTAATCCCGTGTCATTCGCATACTATGTACAGGAATTAAGGTCTCAAATAACTTGATAAATAACATTAAGAGTGGATTGAATCCTGTTGTACAATTAAAGCAGTTATATTAAAACAAATATGCGCTTCTAATTTGATTGAAAGTGAAGTTGAATTTAGCAAACTTTGTTGTGTACGGTACACGCTGAAGAAGTGGTGTTATTTTTTTATTGTTTATTGTCATGTTAGTTTTGGTTTCTTGGACCATAATACCGTTTTTGTTCTACTTTGCATGCAAAAAGAACAGTGAAAGTTTACTTGTTTATTTTTTGCTGTAAAAAGAATATTGGAAGTTGATGAAACAATTGGGTGCGTTTAGAATTAGTTTCAAAACGTTTTTGTTTTTTGTATGAAAATGAAAACGAAAACGTTTTTATTTTCATTTTGGAATCATTTCTGAAAATGCGTTTAGTAGTTTTATTCTGAGATTGTTTACAGTTTAAAAAAAACTGAAATTGTGTTTGATGGCTTAATTTTTAAAAACATGTAATAATATTTAAATTAATAATATATTAAATAAACATGAATTTTTACATGAGAACTACAGAGGAAGAGTGGGGGGGCAGTTGGAAGAGGGGGGCAGTCGGAGAAGACGGTGGCGGGCAGTCGAGACTCCTTCGTAGAAGTCAAGCTCCAATGGCTAAAAACTGAAAATGCAGAAAATGAGAAAATGAAAACGATATTATACTGTTTTCAATTTTTCAAAAAAGACAAACATTTTTTGTTTTTATTTTTAAAAATTTTTTAAACCAAACGCATTTTATGTTTCCGTTTTCATTGTTTAGTATTGAAAAACATGAAAAATGAAAATGAAAACGGAAATAAACAGGGCCATTGGGTTTTCTTTTCCTGTTTCTTCACTCCATTAAATTAAAGCTTATGAAGTCGGAGACTTTTTGCAATATACACTTTCAGCGTCAAAACGTGTGATTCTGACCCCTTCGCTCCCTCCCCCCTCCTCAAGTCGCATATCTCGAGATATTAAGTTGGGCTCGGTCCACGTATTAGGTGATTGGGCTATGTGGGCTGAGTGAAGTGCCAAGCCCACTACACCTCTAGCAGGATTGACCTTATATAATTGAGACATAAGAGATCAGTAATATTTTAAAACTTTTTCATATTTAAACTTTTCTATTTAAACTTTGCGCGTAAAGAACCCTTTCCAAAAATGAATTAATTTCATAAATGATAACTAAACTACGTATCATAGTTCAACATATCTTTGAACTTTGAAAAGGGTACACCTTGAACTATTACAAAATGGTTCAAAACACCGTTTCTGTCTATTATACTCACAAAATAATGATGTTGCACCACTTATAATTTCGTAAATATTCAATGAATTAGTGATTTTAAGTCAACTTATTAAGTCCTCATTTATTTCACTAGTTTAGCTTAGTTCAACTCATTTTAAACAGTGAGCACAGTTTAAACTCATATTTGGTAAGCATATAGTCCGAATTATATTTCACATTTAAACTGAGTTAAACTATCCAACTTAGAGTTTAGCCTCCCCCTAAGTTCAATTGTTCAAACTATTTTTAAACAGTGAAAAGTTTTCATTTTCTATGCTTTTCACACCTACCAAACACAAATTTGAATTTTATTCCCTATTCAGATTAAAATTTTAACTGCACATCCAAATGGTAATTTGAACTACAATTTAAACCACATAATTTAAATTTTTTGTTCAAATAAAAAAAATTTAAATCAACAAAATTTGAACCAGCGAACCAAACGGGAGCTAAGATCATCAACCGTTTTCTCAAAAATACTTGTCATCTAGGTAGCCCTATAGAACCACACACTAATTCTTATTTTTAATTATGTGATGCTTTGTGTAAATTTTTTCTTAAAAGAATGAGATATCCCTTGCGAGCTTCAATATTGATGCTTCAAATTAACTACGATTAACTTATGAGTAATTGGAAAAACTAAATCAAAATAGAGGACGGTTAACTACCTGCTGATTTATTGCACAGCTTTGGCCATATATATTAAGTAATGAAAAGTAGTCAACAATTAATATACATTAATGAATAACGCTATAAGTGCCCGAAATATTATCCCAATCTTTCACACTTATAAAAAAAAAAAAAAAAAAAAATTGTACATAAGAATACTATGGGGTAGATGATAACTTATAAATTATCAATTATCAATTATCAAATTTCTAAAGACTTCTAACAAATCATAGATCATGTAATTAAGCAAATATTAAAAGATTATGACAAGAATTGTGACCTGAATATAATTTATATAAATGTATAACACACTACGTTTATAAGTAGTCATAAAAATACTGTGTTTTGATAAATTGATGCATATATAGCTACATAAATGTAGAACTCATATAAGACAGAATACGTACTCAAGTAATTTTATGGAAATTAAAATAAAAAAAGAAGAAGGTTTCATGCATGCATGCAGATGCATGCGAAGTCGTATAATGTCGAGGAAAAATTTAGAGAAGAAGAGTTTTATAATAAAAAATTAATTAAAAAGGAAAAAGAAAATCATGCATATCTGTAAACCGTGTGTGTGTGTGTGTGTGTGAAATGCTCTCTCTTCTAATTTTTCTTTTTATCTCTCTTCCCATTTCTGCCAAGTCTAAGATCACAATAAATTTAAATGAAAAATTAATTTGAAGCTTTAGCTACTCATTAAAAACAAGCTGTTTTACGTATCTCCTTTCCTCAAATGACTGCTTACCCTTTTTTTTTTTTCTCTCTTTTTTGATCTTTTCAAGACTGTTTGCATATTTATAAGCTGATCACATATTATATATAAAATATAGGTAGCTAGGTTTCCTGATCATCACCACCACCAACCATCTTTCTATTCATTATCTATAATTTCCAATTCATGAAGTTTATAACGAACCAGTCAAGGAACGTAAAATATGTAGAACAAAAAAGGGGCAGAAAGATTTATGGAAAAAGTACAAAGAAAAATTAAGAAAATTCGAAGATATTCATATTGCTCCTCCCTGCCAACCTGGTCTGCCTAGTGTGAACTCCAAGCTTGGGTTTTTGCCTTCAAAATTGTTGTTTCCTATATAGCTCTTTACTCGAGTACTTGAATCGCATTCCTGTTATAAGAAATTTCATTATTAACGTACGTTATGGCCAATCGACCCTCCTACTAAATTATTATACACACACACAGATATATATATATATATATATATATGCGCTCAAGTACCAATCCATATATATATACACACACGCATGGCATATGATCGTCCATATGTACATGTAAAAAATAAATAAATTAAAACAATTTTTAGCACTTGATTGCCTGAACTTTTCGTGCTTTGAAAATTGTCGTTTGAACTTCTAATTTATGCAATTAATCATGAATTTGTCAAACTGTTGCATTGTGGTTCAAACTAATAATACCAGTTAAATTGATGATGGAAAGAAAAGACTGATTATTAAAATTAAAAGTCAGGCGGGTAATTAAAGCACGAAAAGCTCATGGGATAAAGTGAAAAAGGAAAAAAAAAAAAAAAAAAAAAAAAAAAAAAAAAACATAAGGCACATATGAGTGTATTATATCACCAATTTAACTAGCTTTACCAATTTCGGCCACATTCTAACTGTTAATAAGTTTACGTACGGGATAGTTTGCAAAAGCATGAAGAAATTAGGAGGATGAAACCCTAAATAAAATTAGATAATTTAAAGAGTTTTATCTCAGGTATTTAGTTTGCTAATGCTAGTTGTCATCTCTCTTAATTTATATAAAAAAGATCTTCAGTATTTGGTGGCTTCGTATTATTGTTTCTAGAAAAGAAACATGTATTTATTATCTAAAAAACCAGAAGATTAGGATATTAGATGACCCACACATTTTGTACTTGTAATGTATTTTTCTGGACAAGACATTAGTTTGTCCCTTCTATACTTCTCATTAATAACTAAAAAAATTAATTCTCTTATCTGAACATTCCACAGCTGTTCAAATGAGAAGATTGTTCAAATTTGTATAGTGCATATTATTGGATTGTATACGACTCTAGACGTCTCCTTTTGTATTATATTATACTTTGAATATTATGTGACTAAAAAAAGGAAAAAAAAAATGCTGATACCTGAATTTGCTGCGATAGTACAGAAGATTGTAACGGAAGCGCATCTATGTCTCTGGAGTTATTCTGCGGCCACACCTCTCTACTGCTGCATTTAATTCAGGAAGAAAACATTAAAATGTTGTAAGTTATTGGCTTTTTTTTTTTTGAGGTTCTTTTATATTGGCTAATTGATGCATTCATCTTTATTTATTTTTTCTTGCTTTCTTAATGGCGTGATTATGCTTCATATCGTGCAATGATGAAAATTAGAAGTTCCAATTGATTTAACTTGTAAACATGATAAAGGATAATTGACATAATAAATGAGCCGAATATCTATAGTTATTGTACAAATATACCATGCATGTATGCATACCGAATAATTTCTGGTGTATTATCAATCACATAATCCGAGAAAATAGGCATCTAATGAGAACAAAAAAGGAAAAACAAAAAGAAAGAACAAAGATTAATATACTTTATTGGCAATGGTATCAAGAGATCAATCATTGTAACCCTAGTTGTTTCGCATTCGAAGTTGATAACTTGAGTTAAAAAATGAATTTATTTGAGAGAAAACACTATATCAGAAAAAATGAAATTTGAATTTTTATGAGAGAAAATACTGTAGCAAAAACTTAAATTATAATTTAAACTAGCAAAATAAACAAGGCCTATAACTTTAATAGTCATAAAAACTAACGCCTCGTTGCATATACATACACACGCACACATCTTTATATATATATATATATATATATATTGACAAGAAGCAGCAATTAACACATAGAGAAACTTGGACAATATCCTAAGTAAGTTGTCACTACGTAAATGAACAGGATATTGTATTCTATCTGTTTTTACCCTATCGGTTTTTCCTCTCATATTAGCAACTTTTGGTTAATTAGATCTTTCGAATCAATGATATAGGCATTGAATATAAACTTACAAATACTGCATGGCTAACTTTTTATAGTGCATGCTATGTCTATAGAAAGAGAAGTTTTATGTTCCATCTGATGCTACAAGAGGTCTTGTTAATTTATACAAAATAAATAAATTAGAAGAAGAAGAAAAATATTTCTAGCGGTCCAGTAGAAAGAAGAAAAGTAGGTTGTTAATCATGGAAACAAGATGCTCAAGAAAATCACGGACAAAACTTGCATATAAAGTTTGAACTTTAGACAATGTTTTTCTCCTTCTGCCACAATTATATAAGAAAAAAGTTTATTAGTATCGGTGGTTGATCCTTAAAGACGACTGCGGGCGTTTCTTCACAGTCTCATCATATATACTATATCTTTAATAGGCATATATGATATATTATATATAGAATACCATATATGTTTTGATATATCTGTATATATACACTAACTTATACATAATTGTACGCCTTTAGAGAAAAACATATGTATGTTTGCGCTCGTTGTATATACGTTCCGTGCATGCATGCACCAATTTTTATATTCGATATATAACGACACATGATTACATTTACATCCGAGAGAGAGAGAGAGAGAGAGAGAGAGAAATATAACATTTATCATCTAAAGAAAGGAATTTGTGTGTGTGTGTTGCGGTATATGTCTACATACATGAGAGCGCGCGTACACATTGTTTTAATTTACGACATCTACATATACAGTTTACTTAACTGATATTAATCATTAAAGTTGATAGATAGAGTTTCTGTATTACTAAGGCCTGTTCAGTTCGTTAATTCGAGTTGAAATGTGATGTTATATGAGAGCTTTTTACTGTAGTAAAAAAGTTAGATGTGACTGTTTCTGAGAGATTTTTACTGTAACAAAACTCGAATTCTAAATTCGAATCAGCGAAATAAACGGGACCTAATATTATTCTTCTTTTGTCAGAGTAGCGTATCCTGTACATATATAATCACGGGTCCTATCACAATTTTTTTTTTTTTTTAAAGTCACGGGTTTCATAATACTGTACTACTTGTATACGATGGACTCCTTAAGCAGGATTTTAACCAACCAACATTAAAAAAAAAAAAAAAATTCTGACGTCAAAAGATTATATAAATGACTTAAATTCAAGCTTCATAAGGTTTGTGGAGCAAGATTTGGTTTTGGTTTGGAAGAAATTCAAGAGAGTATCGTATTAAGGCTGTTTAAGGTTGGTTAGCTTGTTAATTTATAAGGGTTAATGTCTCCGATTGAATACAGTTGAATATAGAAATTAAGCATGTTTGTCTAAAAAAAAATAATAATAAGAAGATCATTATTGTCATATATAAGTTCTGAGAACGTCTCTGACAACGATAAAGATGAAACTTTAGGTTATATAGTTAATATTTTTTCATTCAAACGATCATATGACATTTTGTAATATAGATAGGAACAATGGGACGAACTTAATTAGACTTGATCAAACTAAGGTTTTCAGAGGCTAGCTATAAAAAGGAGTGTAAGAGCTCATATGACATTTTGTAATATAGATAGGAACAATGGGACGAACTTAATTAGACGTGATCAAACTAAGGTTTTCAGAGGCTAGCTATAAAAAGGAGTGTAAGAGCCATGACTCAAAGGGGGTGGTTGAGAAGAGATCAAGGGTAACTAAAGAGATCGTCATGAAATTATTACTTCTTTTTTACTCATGTTTTATACAAGTAAAATAAAAAGAAGTAAAAGCTCAAGTCGTTAAGTATTATAGTTTAGATTTAAAAAAAATAGAAGAGCTTTTACAGACATAGACGAGATTTTCTTTTTGTGTTAAAACGGTAAAATATAATCTTCAAAAACAAAAGTAGAACACTAAAAACATTTTCTCTAAATAATTTTGTGTGTTTTTATGAAAGCTCTTTCAAGAAAAGCTACGCATGTGAGTTTGACTCTCCGATATTGCATCCAAACACTTCTCAAGCCGTTTTTGAGCTCAAAAAGGCAAAAACTAGCTCACTAAAAGCTCTAAGAAAAATTAAACAAATGACATTGTAAGTAGTTGTATTCTTGCTGCATGGTATCATGGGCGTAGAGTTTTAAGGCAAACCACAACTAAAATCTCTGGTGTTTTTCTCAGTTTATATTTTCGTCTATATACTATTGTTTAGAATCGGATTGATCTTTTTTCTATCGGCCAGTTTTTCTGCATCAACTAACTCGAATATTGAAGAAAATTTTGGATTTAACAAAACTACTTCTAAAATGATCTAGTTTGCTCCAACAAATTAATTATTGTTAGTAATTCATATTTTGTTCTCATGCATAGTTTTCTTGGAGAAACATAGTTACAATTTTGGTAATTTTATTTTATTTTATTTTAAGGAGAGCAGTTTTTAGTTTTAGCAACCAAATAATTTTAGTTGGAAATCTAGATAAACATAAGGGTCTGAATTAATAGGTTTTTAAATGTTTTATTGTAGACTAATGCAGTTTAAGAATCCCAAATGAAGATTGACATACACTCGACGCCCCATCCTATATCAAACCTCCTACTCAAATATTTTTTGTTTTTTAAGTACATGTTGACGGATATATATTTACTTTTCTTTCTTTCTCTTTTAACGAATCACTTATCATTAATTATATGGAAAACATTTCAAACTTGACAATAACATCCTTTTTTTTTTGAGTTACTGTAACCAATTAGCTCTAAGTATAACAGATCTTTTTGTTAATCCACTTAGTAGGATCAAATCTCAACTCAACTTCATGTAATTTTTTTATTAAAAAAATATCTTTGTCGTTTATGATATTCTTCACTAAAGTACTAGATGATTCCATGTCCAATATACTTACTAGAAAATTGACTGTCAAGTTAATCAGTCCAATATCTTTTAGCTCTGATAAAAAGCTGGAAAGTAGCTGTAATCAATACATATATAGCAAATATTTTGTTTCCTATTTAGTACCAAAAATAAAGCTTGATTTTAGTATCTTAGATTTAGTATATAATAAGAAGATTAATGGTGGTGGTGGAAAGAAGAAACAAATCAGACAAAAACCGAATGACATTTAGATGGAAGCTGGTACCAAACAGCGTAGACTACTTTATATATATATATATATATATATATAACATTTATAAATATTTAATTATAGTACGTAGGAACATTTAAAGGAGAGGGTCAGCGCACTTAAATCAAGGAAGAAAACTTTTTGGTCATATGTGCAAATGCAATCTCCTCGTGGATAGAATAAGAACCAGAGTTTTATATTGTGACAACAACACAATTAATTAAAAAATAGTATTAAGATGCAAACAAAAACTCAAAGTAGAAATTTTAAAAGAGGAAAAAGTGAAGAAGCAGTTGGCTACTTTCTCTGTGGTTTGGTTATCTTGTGTTTGTTGCTTTTCTATATTAAAATAACCCCCATCAATCAAAGCAATACACATCCAAATCAGCAGAAAGAAAGGAGGGCGCCAAAAAAAAAAAAAAAAGAAAGAAAAAAAGAGAAACAATCTTTGAGAACAAAAGAATATTAAAGAAAAGAAGAGACCAATTAGAAAAAATTTAAAAGCAAAAGCTGCAGCCGGCAACACTTTTATTATTCTTGAAGAAATTATGGACGTCGTGGGATTGCATTTAGTTTTCTAATTATAAGCAATCAAAGCAAATAATAAGTTAATAAGAGAACCATATGCAAAAAAAAAAAAAAAAAGCAAATTAATTAGGCGTATGGGCATAGCATCTTATCATGATAATTAATATATAATATAGCAATACTCTAAATTATTAATGTTGTCGATGAACATGAATTAATTCAGAGAGAAAGAGAGGTAATAATTAAGGAGATTAATGATATTCTCCGTACCTTGAGGAATTACTCCAGAGACTGGCTGATTTATAGTCGACATTATCTGATTGGATAGACCGATCAGACGGTCCCTTTTGCTCCGGGAACTGATGAGTAAGTAGGCCACCAGTACCATCAGAGCCGCTAATCCCCATCTGTGACATTTCATCCTCTCCAGATCCATCTGATTGCCCTAATTCTAACATTTGACAATCCAAAATCAAGTATATATTATTACTCCAATATAATATAATATCCACAGTACGACATTTATGCATGTGTATATGGAATATATTTAATATGTAACACATTGATGGTGGATGCATGTGGGTGTTGTTTACTTCAGGACGTTTTATGTAGATCTAGTACCTATATATAATGTATCATGTACATATTTGTACGTGTACTATATACGTATAGTTGTATATACATATATGCATTAGTTGTACACATTGTTTAATAAATGGGAGTGGCGTACGTGCGGTTAAAAAAATTGGGGAAAAAACAATATAGGAGGGTGTATATAATGCATGTGTATATATATATATATGTATGTATGTATATAGGAGAGGGGGTAATAAGTTAAGGCTGATAAAAAGAAAAGCTGAGGAGGTTTAGCAATACGAATTACCTGAGGAGGCTGCAGGCTTGTCAGTGGTCTTAACAGTTCGATACATCTGCAAAGTCATTGCAAAACACATTTACTCAAACATTATTCTTATTATTATTATTATTATTATTATTCATTATCTCAGCTCCAACGCAACAAAACAAACTTTAAGTCAAAACATTCATTTTGGAACTACTCATGACCTATATACAATATACAGGTTTAGTTCATTTTATCGATTTAAATTTTTAATTTTAATTTTATTACAGTTAAAAACTCTAATAAAGAGTAACATTTAACTTTTTTTACTACAGTAAAAAATTCTCACATAAAATCACATCTCAGTTTAAATTTAAAACTCGACTTAACAAACTGAATAAAGTCATAATATATTTCATATATCTAGATATATATATATATACACACACACGATCTAATATAATGTATGTACAAACCAACAATAACCCATCTAGTGTATAATATTGTTTTTTATGGAGTGATCTATCTCTCTTTCTTTCTACTGTCTTTGGCTTGGTCATTAATCACGAGGTCGATGCTTTGGTAATAATGCAGTACTAATGAAATCTGTATTATTGAAAAATGATTACCACTTTTGTCTGTTATCATGATCTACGAAAATATTCATGGTTTTCTTATTTCTCTCTCTCTCTCTCTGAAAGCAGAAGCTGCAGTGTGTCTGGTCGGGCTGGTCTGGTCCCAGAAGTTACAGCTGCAGAGCTAGAGACTCATCCATCGCTCGCTATATACGATCGATCCAATCTTTAAATTCATTCATTCACTAACTCACTTCTTCCATTGACAACCGTGCCCTCCTCTTGTGTGGTTGCAGACCAACACCGACCCACCCACATGAGGGAGAGAGAGAAAGAGAGAAATCTAGAGAGAGAATAGTTTTGATTTTGATTTTGATTTTGGTTTTGGTTTTACACACTACTTTTATTTCTGTCCATTTTATTTTACCTGCAAATGGCTCTTGACATGGGCTAGTGTGAGATCCTTCACATCCATCAGCTCAAGAACTGACTTTGGTGTAGCTCCTGCTTAAAACCCAAACTTCAAAAAATCAAAACTAAATAAAAAAAATGAAGAAAAAAAATTAATTAAAAGCAAAAGAATTCATAACTAGTAATTAGTACTACTTCGGATCTTACTTTCATGGCCTCCAAGAAGCTCAACGGCGTGAACGAATCGAGCGTGGAGAGTGCTCGTCCACCGCATTCTCGGCGCTCGCATGCTCCGCTTCGTCGGAAGCTTGGGCAAAAACCTAGCTCTTGAGGAATTAGCCTCATGATGATGATGATGATGAGGCTGTCCGTACTGATGGTGAAGATGGTGCAATTGGGTCGATTTGAAGGCTTCCGCCGCCGCTGCCAGCCCGTTGAACCTCGCCGCGGCCGCCACACGGTACGCGGAGCCGTTTGAGGAGCCGAGGATTGACATCGGATCCAACGCTCCTCCTCCACCGAGACCATACGGCGACGATGCGGAGGGTAATACTGGTGATGATGGGGACAAATTAGGCATTTGGTATAAGCACAACTTGGGATCCTTATTTATAACCTGATGAGTATGATGATGAAGATCTCTCCCGTTTTCCGCGGAGAGGAAGGGAAATGAACGGTTGTGACTGTAAACCGGGATCCCCTTGATGGGCCGAAAAGGGTCCGATGATGCCGACGCCACGTCGATGCCGCCGCCGCCTCGATTTATGTGGCGCATATGACTATGATTGTGAAGCTGGTAATTAGTATAAGGGTTTTGCGGTACTTGGGGCTCTCCAGCTCCGTTGGTACCGAAGCTTAATCTTCCTAAAGAGAGCTCCGTGTGCGCTTTCAAATTCTTGTTGTTGTTGCTGTTGCTGCTATAATCCGCATCAGCCGCCGCCGTCGGGCGACGGCCCAAGAGATCGAACCTCGCAGTATCGCCGGCCGCTTCGCAGATAGGCGAAGCGGAAGAGGAGGAAGAAGAAGAAGAGGAAGAAGTGTTGTTGGGTGGACTTATGTGGAGAGAGAGATCAGGAAGCTGCTGTACTGCTGTTGAGGCTGAAGAAGCTGCTGCTGCTGAAGCTGGCTCAATGAAAATCCCTTCCAAGGGCATTTTTTTCTTTTTCTTCCTCGGTATACAAATTGTTGAGGGCTAAGGCTATAGCTAATAGTACTACTCCTGGTTTTAAAAATTTCAATTACAGCTTGATCAGGTTGAAGAAAAAAGTGAAGAAGAAAGAAAGAGAGAAACTGAGATTAAAGAAGTGGGTTACCCTCTCTTTTCTCTTTTTTTTTTTTTTTTTCCTTTTCTTTTCTCTTAAAGATAGTTGAGTAGAATTTTTGGTTTCTCTTTTCAAAAGGATATATATATATATATATATATATATATGTGTGTGTGTGTGTGTGTGGAAAGTTATATATGAGTTATTATAGGATGATTTAAAGAGAACTGAGAAGGGCAAATTAGGAGATAACTGAGAGAAAAGAAAAGAGGCTGGATTAAAGTTAAAGATAGAATAAAAGTATGATGTATGTATATATGTCTAATATATCTAATCTATCTTTCTTCTGGAACAAACAGACATGCTCACGAGAGAGAAAGAAACAGAGGGAATAGAGGTAAATGGACAGACAGGGGATAATGGGAGAGGGATAGATGTATGTGGGTTATTGTTAAGCAGTGGAAGAAAGAAAGAAAAAAAAAAGAAGTCACAAAAAGTCAGGGAAAGCTAAGAAAAAGATAGAGAAAGAGAGATTAGAAAGAAGGGGATTTGGGTATAGCGTTCCTCCTCGAAAGTATATCTCGGAAAATGACACTAGAAGAAGAAGGAAGAAGAGCACAAGAGGTCATCTATCTAGTATATCTTTCTAATAATATATATATATATATATATATATATTTTAGTCAAAACCCATAAAAATGCACCAAAAAATATGGTCACTTTGGATTTCCCTTCCCCGGAGACGACGGGATAAAAAATGTTAGAGCGAGAAAGACACCCTCATGTGTGATTCCTTTTCCCCCACTCTCCTCGCTTCTCTCTCTTTCTTATTCTCTCTCTCTTTAATACTATTTCCCAGGTAAATAAATTTATTTATTTAATAATGGGTCTCAATTCCATATATGCTTATGTTGGCAGGCCAGTCTACGTATTGGAGGTACTTATAAAAAATTCCTTTTTCCCTCTTTTCAAATTCTCGCGAGATGTTGAATTTTGAAAGAATATTTTATCATATATTTCTTTCATGGGGTATGTTGTAGACCCCTAAGACCCATTGACCTCAAAGAGAAAGAGAGAAAAAAAAAAAAAAAAAAAAAAAAAACCCACAAAAAGGGTATTTTTTGTTTGCTTCCATATGTACAGATCGTAAACCCTAATTCCACTATATATTATTATTAGCTTCTAATTCTCCTTACATCCTCCCAAATATTCCCTTCTAATCTTTAACAACTTTGTCTGGCATCATGGGTTTTATTATGTCTTCCTCCACATGACCCCTCCACACTCCAAGCTACCACTACTAATTGCTTGCTTGATTTTCAAAACCCTAGGCTCAATCTCAATTATAATATTAATGTATACATATTTAAATATATATATGAGAGTTTTTTAAGTGGAATATCTCTATCGGTGATTCGATTTCTAACTATTAGAGCTGGTAAAAACATATCAAGTTAAAAAAAATATGCTGAATAGATAGTTTTTTATGCATATCTAACGGTTAAAAACATAGTCTTTTTGTTAGTTTATTTTTATACAGATCTAACGGTTAAAAACATGGTCTTTTTAGTTGTTCATTTTTCAGCCCTATTTGAGAATCTTCTTATATTTATTTGGGATTCTAATTAAATGTATTCTTATTGGAAACTAAACCCGCTAATTTTTTTCTTACAATACTTTCACCGAGATAACATAGTAGCTAGGTCTAGGAAAGAGGGAAGAAATTAACATTTAACACTAGTAGCACTATTTCATAATATAGGTGGTGTTTGGATGGTTCATTAAATGCAAAATTGGGTGTAGTAAATGCTGTTTGGTTTCACTACTTAGGAAAACGTTTTCTATTCGAATCCCCCGTTAATGAGGTGAGAGAGAGGGAAAGGGAAAAAAGAATAGAAAAGGGTAGAAGACGTTCAGTTGTGTATTGTTTTTGGTGCATTCCTTTTCCAACATGTACAGAAGAGAAAAGTATTCTTCAACTAAATGTTGTTTGGATAAATGTGGGAAGTATTGATATGTATTTCTCATTTCCTTTCTACTCTTGGGGTTTGTACCGATGACAATAACAACTCGTAAACGCCACTAATATCATCATCAACAACTTCTTCATATTAATTAATGAAGACCAATATAATTCAATTCCAAGTTCTCAATCTGATCATCACATACTAATTATGAGCATTACATCTAGGATTTCAAAGTACACTTTATCTAGCAAACTTTTTGTTGTTAAGATCGTTAATATGGCATTAAAGTTTTATATACATGTATGTATGCATGTAGATATGTATTTGTGTATGTATGTATGTATGTACAGAAGATCAGGACGTACATAAACACAAAGATATTGATGGAGGATTGAAGATGTCTATGATTCATTATTGGTCATGTTTTATAGGGGATATACACAAAGATGATGTACAAGTGAGTCATAGCATGTATTTATTTTGCTTTGACTAAAACAAAAGCTCATTGTTGGGCCTTTCCAGCCTAAAAAAGCTCGTCATTGGGCCTAGAGCTTTGTCTACTAATTAATTAATTTGCTTATCAGCTAATTGTGTGAATATAGTTGTCTTCTATATGTCATGACAGTACTCTAGTACTGCTTTCTCCACATATTGAGATTGAAGTAGTTAATTAATTACCAGGAACAGGAATAGAAAAACCCTGAAAGTTATGGAAGATATATTACTATTTACTACTGGCTAGGAGGCAAACTTTGCAGCTAATTAATAAGCATATGAATTTTCTGGGGATAAACGGTCAATAAATGGAGTTACTGGCCTCGTTTACTTCGCGGATTCGAGTTTTCAATTCGAGTTGAGACGTGACATTTTCTGAGAGTTTTTCACTGTAGTAAAAAAAAGTTAGATGTGACATTTTCTGAGAGCTTTTTACTGTAAAAACCTAAAACTGAAAACTCGAATCGGTGAAATGAACGAGGCCTATATAAGCATTGTGTTGATGAGAAAACCCGTACGGTTATGACTAAAGATATATACACATATATATATCGTCCATATATATATATATATATATATATATATAGAAGCAACAAATTTTCATCTTCCTGCCAAGTGTGAAAAGAACTTCACAACGATGGAGTACTAATGGCTCCACCAAAGTATTTGTGTGGTTTATAAGTTGCCATATAGGATGCAAATTTGGTTTAATTAGCTATAGCAACTTTGTATCGATAGTATTGTACGTATGCTATATAGCTCCTACTTGTCCCACGGTATGAATTTAGGAAGAGGTAATGTGTTGTTAAGGGAGTTGTTTTTGTTTTTATGGGTCTACAAACTGATTCTAAATTAATTGTTCTTAGAAGAGCTTTAACTATTCATAAAAGCATCGAAAAATCACCATATATAGCTTCTAAAACAAGCTCTTTCCAATAGACTTTAAAAATTATATCAAAGTTTAAGTAAGAAATTATAAATTTCGTTCTAATTGTTTTACTGTTTATTAGAAAATTTTAAAAATGTGGTTCCGAACACTTACTATAAAAACCACAATTTTGTTAAATCGTATTCTTTTACTAATTGAAAACAAAAGCGCTACCAAAGGGATACTAACTATTTTAGTCACCAACCAAATAGAAGTATCACTACTACTACTACAAAATAAATAATTAAATAAATAAATAAGGTTTCGCATTTTCATTGATAAAACGACGATATTTTTGGGGCATGAAAACCTGGTAGCTAATAGTTTTTCTCTAACGAAAATGTGGTGACATCGTTGGAAAAAAAAAATGACTTGTACTAATGATACGTGTTGTCGGTCAAACTGAACAACGTCACAAAATTAAAGTTATGAGTTTAATTGGTTGCATGGATTTTTGGCGATGATCAAATTTAAAACTTTGGTATCGATTAAAGAACATTTTATGGGAAAATACTGGCAACAATTTTTCTCAGGAAAGATTAATGTCGCAATCAATTATTCTTATAATAATTTTGAGTATTTGTTAACATTGTATTTTTAGGATATTTTTAGTGTTACAATTACATTTGTTTAGAAAGATATTAATAGATTAGCAACAAAAAAAGATAAATATTAATAATTAGTGTTATTGTAAGTTATGCTAACATTCACGTAAGTATACATTTGAGACAAAAAGTTTTAAATAATTATAACAATAATCAACGTTATTCTAATATTGAGAATTGAACAATAATGATATAAGTTTGAAATTGAAAGTCGTAACAATTGTTATACAAGTTGTCTCAAACATAAAGTAAAATATGTACAAACTAAGCTTAAGATTGTCTGGTCGAGTGGAATTGGCAATTTAGATAGAATATTGGGGCTTTGAGAAAGCCTTGTAGCAGGTTCAATCATGTCTTGTATTGTAAAAAAATATGTACGAAATAAATCATTTTTGTATTAAAGAGAGCCAAACAAGAGATCGCAAGCCACGAATTTTTTTGTGTGTGATTTTTTTTTTTTTCCTTTTGTTTTCTTCGTTTGCAATTTACTTACACCCCCATTCCTCGAAACTTTAACAATTGCTCTCTAATCATTAACACTTGTTAAAGTTGATGCCCAACATCTGCGCGATAGTTTAGGGGTAATAATTTTTGTATTGTTTATCTTGAGGATATTTTTCTTTGGGAAACGATATAATGAGAAATGAACCACATTTCTTTCCACCAAACCATGACAAACATCTAATCTTCCAATTAAAATCTTGAGTATATACAATATGAGCAATGGGCAATTATGTGAGTAAATTAATTAGAAAGCCTATCACGTGAATATTTAAGCCCGAGATATATTAAAGACCCAACACGTGATGACAATTTAAATGGGGATAAATAGTGCAATTACGGGAGTTTAAACTCAGAACCTCCCGCTCTGATACCATGTTAGTTTACCAATCCATTCCAAAATCTTAAGCTATTACAAGGTGAGCCAACAATAGTTTTATACTTTAACAAGCATCTAATCTAATCTATCTTCATTTGATTAACTCTCGCATTGAATATATAAGAGAAGTGTAGCCA